GTCAGGGCACCAGCTCATTGGTTGGTCAAGAGACATGACTAAGCCTTTATGACATGGAAGTAGCTGGTATACCTTGGCATGTGCTGGAACCTGCTGGAAGGATTGGATGGTCAGGTGACCTGCTGTGCATGGCTGTGCATGACCTCATATGACCTCATCCTTGGTCATATGACCTGATCACCTGACTAGGCTGAGTAAGCAAGATGTTCTAGCAGGTTCCACCACAGAGGTATAAATATAAGGCCTACTCTGCCTGGGACTGTCTCTTCAGACTTGGTCTCTTAGGATCATCCACAGATACCTATACTGTAGATAGGTCTTAGTCATCAGGTCTACTCCACTTCCTTGTTGCCTGCTTAGACTCTTGGCACTCTTAGGTGAGCAGACTTAGTCAGCCTGTGTTGCCCTAACAGATTACATAGGTGGATTGGGTTCAGAAGAGAACACCAGGAGCTGATGTAGACCCTGAGTGAGGACTTAGGTGAGCAGGAAGAATGGACATTTGAGAAATATGGTGCTGTGACTACAAGGAGTAATACAGGGTCTCCACAGAATGGATACAAACACTGTACCAATACCGGAATACCAGAACAATTTGTATGAGACAGTATAGTTCAGTATCAATTGGTATTGGATTGCGTACTGAGATGATACTATGTAATACCAAGTAATACCATGTCAGATACAACAAATACCAGATCATACTGCTGCAGGGACTACCAAACCATGCAGAACTGCAGTATACCTCAGTTGGTATGGGTACCAGATGATTCTGGCTCCGTGAGGCTGAGTTTTGTCCCATTTGCTCACTCTTAAACGCGCCCTAAAGGACAAGGCGTCCCACATAAAATGCTCTGCTGCCGCACTGAGAATGCAGGGGAATCACCCGGGTCCCCGACTACCATTTTTGCACTGGTGGGCGCACTCTGAAGACGCAGCGTTCCGCCACTCCTCTTAATGAATGCATTGATTGGTGCCAATGCTTTATATACAGGAAATATGACTGCTCATTGGAGGAGAGCGAAGAAACGAGCTGTTCAAGCAGTGAAGAAGCAAGGGGGGCATTATACAAGCACGTCAGTGCAAAACTGCAAACACAGTGACACATCGATATCCAGGGACCCCATGATCTTTGGTGCGATTGCGATGGACGGCGCAGGGCAGCAGTGCAAAACGAGAGGAACACCGCAAAAAAACAGTGTAAGGGATGCTAGGTGAGTGGAAGGGCTTCTCATTCGACAACATCAACTAACTCAGACATTCGCACAAAGAGTTTTGTCCAAAAAATCGTCTCATAAATATCCAAATGTTAAATGAAATATACAGAAGAATGTCAGGATGACAGGCCTGTGCCGAAGCTGACAATCCGGAGCCCACGCTCGACGGATGCACATTTTAACTAATGAATGGAGTGCTTTCCGCCGCACTCGCGCCCAAATTGCGCTCTGCAAAGCCCATCATGTTCGCGGTGTAGTGGAAAGCCATATAGTACTTGTCGAGGAATTGCGTTCCGGCGAGCCAGGTAGGCATAGATCCTGCGTCACTCGCCAATGGGTTGCAGAAGCCGTTCCCGTTGTCGCTTGACGTGTTGGCGAGATCAAACGTGTAGTTGCGGTTCTGTGAACCGTAGAAATTCAACGTCATAGTCGAATTGCAGGGGATCAGGAAGTTCCCATTACTGTCGGGGCCTTGCGCACCGACCAGGGACATGAGTGTGAGCCAGTCATCGTGGGGAAGGTCGAGGAGGGCCCCATAGGCGGTGTCGAAGGTGACGACGGGATGACTGAATAGATCGGTCGCATCAATTGCACTGGAAGATGAAGATGCTTGAACGACACGTTGGGATGCGGGACTTTGCCATTGTCCTTGTGGATCCATCTGAATCCAGTCGACCTCGCCCGTGAACTTATTTGCATCGAGGCCACCAATTGATCCTTGCGATGAGACACCAGTTGGAACTCCCTCTGAGCCGTCTAGTTGGTAGAATGCCATGACGGCGTTGACGATATCTCCTTGCATAAACATGTTCTCCAAGAAGTTGTTGTAGTTACCAGCCCCGCACTTGGCATATGCAGACTTCGCCATGCCGAAGTTTCCATCGAGACTCTCTCCTGTTGGGATTTCGGTGGCAGCACCCAAGGTCGTGTTCGCGGTGGTGATATTACCCCAGGTCAGGCTATCAGTCACCCGCCATGAAACTAGAGTACTATTTTCCGGGGCGTTGTTGTTAAATACGACGGCGTCCTGGATGCTGGAATTTTGGGATCCAGGCCCAGGGACGTATTTATTATGTCCAGCGCAGCTGTCCGAGTTGCACAGGTCTGATACGACCCAATCGTTCGTTGAAGTAGTGGCGAGCAGCACATTCAGTGCAGGCGTGTTGCCGCCCAGAATCATCGGCGCATGATAGGCAAAACCAAGAGGTACCGATGAGATGAAGGTATTGGATGGAAACGTGGGAGCGGGAATGCTGCCGCTGAGGACAAATCGATCGACATTCAACTGTCCGAATGCCTTGACAGACGGGTCCTCTACATTGGTAATCGTCAGGGTGTGGATTCCGTTGGAAAGTCCGGTGATGTTCGCCAGAAGACGAGGATTTTCAGTGCCGTTCGTAGAGGCATTGTTGTAGGAAAACTGGCTGCAAGGTAGACTGTCGATGCAGAGCTGTGCCAAGCCGCCATCGGAACGTTGGTACCCCCACCATTGCAGCGCCGTGAACGGATCTGAGCCCAATATAAATATGAGACAGGAGGATGAGATGAAAAACGAACAAGGGAATGTGACTGTGACAACTCCATTGTCACGATCACCAAGAAGAAATTCGGAACCACAGCCAGCAGAGCCTGGCGCAGCCAAGAGAGTCCAATTCGAAGACGGTGAGTAATTGACTTCTGAATCTGTCGAGAAGACGATGTAGCTACCCCCGGAGGGGTCGTTACCGTCCAAGACAAACCGATCAACTGTCATCTGGCCGAACGCCTTCACCGATGGATCTTCAACGTTTGTCATTACAATCGTGTGGATGCTGTTCGACAGCCCAGTAATGTTCGCGAGCAGGCGAGGGTTTTCAGAGCCGTTAGTAGAGGCGTTGGAGAACGAGTAGTCCTGGCATGCACCGCCATCAATACATATTTGAGCCACGCCTCCATCGGACCGCTGATAGCCCCACCATTGGAAAGTCGTGGATGGCTCTGTGTACTCTATCAGCTGAATTTAAATGCGAATGAATCTGGCATACGAGGGAACGTGAACGTTATACTGCCATTGTTGTGAGGTCCGAGAAGAAAGGATGACCCGGTGCCAGTCGAGCCTGGTGTGGTGAGGAGGTCCCAGGACGAACTCGGGGAGTACGTGATATTCGGATCCGTCGAAAAGACCGTGAGAGCGTGGGTGCAATGAGCGAAGAGAACTGCTGTTGCGCTGAGCACAGCCAGTCTGTTGAAAAGAGATACTAAGCTAAAGGAGTGCATTGGGGTTGACTGAGCGTTGTCGAAAGGGAAACACGTCTGAAGACAGTAGACCGATAGCTGTCCAGAGCATCTTATACACACGGCGGAGCATGTACGCCAGTCTCAGTCAGCGGTATTGTGCCCGACCCGGACAGGAGATCGCTATATTGCCCGACCCGGACAGGAGGTCGTTATATTGTTCTCTGACATCCTTGCCATAAGAGCAGATGCAGACCAGCGCAGACATTAATATTGGAGGAAGGCGGGAGTACATCCGGGTTTCAGGACCGCACCGCAAATCGTAGGTTAATTTTATAGATAGGCGCTCCGCGCAGTCCTGAGGCTCGGTCTGGTTTAATTTGACAGATTCCGGATCTTTGTAAGCGAGGCTTGTATGCATCCAAAACGGATGCATTTTCGTGTCGAATTAGCCGTACCAAGGTTACAGGAATAAGGTGAAACAGTCGAGGACAGGGTAGCTGGTTGATCCCGGTGTATGGGCTAAGATTATGGACTAAATAGATTGAAAACCCTGAAACGAAAGCATCACACCACATTCACTAGGCCTAGGGTCCGAAAAGGCTCTTGATGTAACGTAGTTAATGGATGACATCCCGTAGCCCCGAGATACGTAGAACCCCAAAATGGAAGCACTTTCGAGGGGTCGAAATCACATGGTGTGCGGACCCCCCTTTCCCGCAGGGTGCGCACTAACTCCGCACAGATTCATAGATTTGGGCGAGACGCATGCTCAACGCGTGCCCTTTGCTTCCGCAGGCACGTCTTAATGTATGCTTCTCTCTTCACAACATCCATCTCTCTCTTCTCTCTCTTCTCTCTTGATTAACTTCACATATGGCTGTTCCACAGCTCTCTACCAGTTGTATTGAGGAGATGGTGACTGCATCTCTGGCCTCTGACAGCAGCCCTGTCATCCTCCAGCTGCTCGAGTGTAGTGAGGAGCTCAATGCAGACAGTGAGGTGTTCGACCTGCCTTACTTCATGTCAGTAGTGTTTCCTCCAGGCTGTGCTGAAACTAACCTTTTAATAGTCTAACATTATTGGATGGCACATCCTTTGTGACGAAGGTGGTGCTGCACACCACTGTTGTGCCCAGGCTGCACAATCAGGAGATTGAGGTGTACGACATGATCACTTTGACATCATATGAGAGGCTCATGGGTCCCAGGAACTGGTGTGCCCCTTGTTCAAACTGCACAGCCTGAACTTGTTCTAACCCTGTGCCAGCATTGCCTTGATTGTGAACTTCAAGCTGTACACAACTTGGTCCAGTTGGATCTCAATACCTCTTGCTTTCCCTCATTGGTCAAACATTGTCTCTGACTGGCAGGCATACCACCATTCTCTGGGCTATGCAACTGCCCTGTATGAATTCCACTATGTCTGGCCCCAAGTTCCACAGTCTGCCCCCCCTCCCCTGACAATGCAAGTCACCATGATTGGCAGGGGGGTAGTGCCCCCAGACCTTATCACTCCCATGCTTCCAGTTGTTCCCCCACCCCCAGTGCCTGTTCCCACCCAGGTTGACCATCTCCTCCTGATTGATGCAAGCCTGGATTGTATTGCCCTGTGTTATTATGCGTGGCACCCTACCCATGTCCCTGGGATCATGGCACAGCCTGCACCTCTGCCAGTTGTACCCCCTGCACTGGGTACAGCACTGTTCATTGGCCCCATTCAAACAGTTTGTATGTACCAAGCTGGGTACATGTTTAGGTTGTCCTCTCTGTCCATCCATTTATTAGTGCAGCCTCAATGTCACCATCAGGATCACAAGACTATGGAGCAAGGACAAGGGAACAATCGACATTCTCTACCATGATTTGACAGGTGAGATCAACCTTGTTGTGTGCTGTGCTGTCCATGCCAAATTTGCTGATGTTGAGGTGGGTAAGGTGAGCTTCAGTCTGTGCATCCTTCCATGTACTTAATCTGACAATAATCTACATCAGGTATATACAATATTCAATCTCAATGCAATTGCAGCAGTTCAAGAGTACTGCCATTTGTTCCACAGGTCCCAGCTCAACTTCCACCAGCAGCAAAGTGATATCACTGAGGTTAGTAGGCTGCACTGTTGCTCTTTTCCTGTCTGACATTCTTATCAGGTTCCTGACAATGGGACAATACTGGAATATCACTTCAACATATGCCAAATTGTCCAAATCCCTGAGCTACCAGATAAGAAGTGTATTGGTGAGTAACAGGCAGTGAGGCGCAGCCTGAGACTTAGCTGACACAGACATGCCCTGCATCATTGCCAACACTAGCAACATCATGCATGGGAAGGCACCAAGGCATGCAAGCTATGTGAGTTGTTTGTATTACTACTACAGGCTGTGCAGGCTCACCAAAAGCAGGGATATGCTGCTGGTGCATGTACAATGCACATAGACATGTGGCTCCTGGACCACACTGGTTGCTGTATTTGTTTGGTTGCGTTCAATGAGTACTAGGCCTAGTTTAAAGGGAAAGATGGCAAGCTGGCCCTTCTCAAGAACGTATGCATCAACAAGCATCATGGCCTTTCCCTCAAAACAGTGTCTGACTACATGAAGATTGTGTGGAACCCTGCAAGCATTCTGGGGTACACTTCTATGGTCACCTGGTAAGTTTTATATCCATAACCACGCTGTGCATCCTCATGAGCTGTAGGTGGGACTTTGCGAAGGAAGATCCTACAGTGGCACCTCTTGAGTGTTGCCTGCAGTGCAGACGGCGCAGCCTCTCTTGCAACTTGCCAACAGATCACTCTTCCCTCTCTTCTTACAATTGATCAGGTCTGTACTCAGCACCTGGATAAGGGAGAGATCCCTTCCACATTCCAGATTCAGGGCCAAATTGAGATTGACCAGCAGAAGAGCATTACTTATGCAGGCTGTGCCATGCCCCATTGCAACATGAAGAGTATTATACCTGCTGAAGGTGCAAATGGGATGTTTGACTGTGTGACCTGTGATCAGAACTATATGGCCCCAGTAGCTAAGTAAGTATTTTATTCATCAGTGTGTGTTGAGTTGACACGCAGCCTTTAGGTACTGTTTGTACTTCAATATTGTGGACACTGAAGGGTGAACACAATGTGCAATTGCATTTGATACTGCCACAACTGCCATGCTAAATATCAATGCAAAAGTCATGAGCATGTTGTACACAGACGCATAAGTCTGCACATGCACATCAGTTGGCACAGCCTCACTGAAGCTCCCTTCAGAGGGGTTACCAGCCCATACATGCTTGCAACCTGGCTCAGGCTGCTGAGGCTCACTACATCTTTACTGTTCAGGCATCAACAAGAGGCAGTGGGTGCTGGAAAGGATGGAAACAGTGGATTGTAATGGAGACTTGGAAGATTGGGCACACATACAATATTGACAAAGACAAGTAGATCCCCCTGGCAGCAGCACTGCCTATTTACATGCCCATACATACAGTAGATAGCAATCCGTGTACATTACAATGCAGGAGTCAGCTAGGCTGCGCAGCCTGTCTGACTCAACAAAGAAGTTCAACAAAAAACCACATAGAGAAAAGATGTTTTTAGGGGTTTCATCTGCAAAAGTGTTCTTGACCTCCAGGACACCCACGTCAGCTTGCATGTCCTCTACTTTCAAATCTGAGACAGCCTGTGCAAACCAATCATGTCATCAAAGGGAACAGAACACAAATACATCCAGTTCTCTTCAAGAACAACTCAACAAATGACAGCACACAGCCTTTCTCCTCCTCACGTGGCAGCTAGCCAATGAGCACAATGTGGCAAGATGAGCACCCTGATGAGCATATCTTACCAGGCACAGCCTGATGCCTTGTCCATGCATGTCAGGGAAGACATTGTTTTGGGGTCTTGTACCCCTTATCACATGTTCTATCCCTGCTTCTCCTCATTTCCAGGCCTTCTCAAAGTGATCCATGAGGCCTGTGCAGGGTCACATCATGGGTTGTGGCATGGGTGCTGTGTGGATTTCCACCATGCACAGCTTTGTGGCTGTGCATTCCATGCTGTTCCATGGTGGTTCCTACCACCTCTGGCTTTTCCTACCTCTGTTCCATGGTGCTCCACAATGCCTGTACCCATGCTTACTTCTAGGCAGCTGTTCCTACTAAGACTCATTGGCCTTATGCCACGGGAGTATTTATATGGAGCCTTTAGGGCCTCTTTCTCCTCAGATATGGTCTCTGAGGAATCCCCCACCATAAGGAACTCAGGCACTCAGTCAAATAAACCAGTTACCTCCACTATCCCACCCTCCTGCCATACTCAGCTACACTCTTGATATACTCTGCTATACTCATCTACCCCTGGCAGCCTCGTTATTGTGGTGTGCCCTCACAATGCGGTGACACACCATGGACAAGGGTGTGCAGTGCAAAGGAGGATCAAGCATATATCATGACAATGGGTGTTGATGTGGGAACCTTTGAATATCTCCTGAAAGCTGGCTTTGAAACCCAATGGAATACACAGCCTATACCCTGATCTGATGTGGCTCCATCTGGAGAGGCAATACTGCATGTTCAATCACTCAATGCAGCTGGTGCTCTCAGCCTCCTCCTGTATTGGCTCAATCCAACAATGAGTGACAAATTGCTTGCCCAGATCTTTGCCTTGGTACCCTCCTGCATCACTCAATATCAGGAGTTTGCACTGGGTATGATGCTGTGCATCCTCTGCACCATCCCAGAAGGTCAAATAGCCTGGCCAAAGGGGGAAGAGTTTGAGAAGCTTTCTGATCTTGTGACAGCAAGGCACCCACTGCTCAAAGGGGCTTTTGGGTCAATGGATGGCCTCAACCTGCCTACTGCAACATCTAGTGATGACTGATGGCAAAATGTGCAGTACACCAGGTGGCTGCATGGCCATTTCACCAGTAATGTATTAGTCTTTGCTGCCTGAGGTATGTGAATGTAGCAGGCTGCGCAGCCTAGCCTGGCAGTTTGCTGATCTTCTACAGGAGAGCTCATTCATGCAGTGATCAATGCCCCTGGAAGCTGGCATGATGCAAGAGTTTCTTCTGCCATATATGAACAGCTCAAGACCAACACACCAGAAGGATTTTTCCTGGCTGCTGATACTGCTTTCCCACATAACCGGAGCAGCCTGCGCACCAAGATCATGACCCCACTGAAAAGTGGGTCATGCACAACCATGGCAAACCTCAAATTCATCGAACAGCTTGTGTCATACTGCCAATCGGCAGAATGGGGAATGCATTCAATCCAGGGCTCATTTGGTTGCCTATGACTACCCTTAGAATCAAACAATGCACAGGCTTGGCACAGCCTGCTTGAGACTATCTTCTGCCTGCACCAAATCAGAGTGTGCATGGTCAGTGTCAATCAGTTGAGAACTGTGTATGAACTGATTTGGATGGAGACAGAGTAGCAGAGATGGGTGTGGAGTAAGCTGAAGGAGATGTGTTTCCCTGACATTCAAAAGGCAGACCATGTGGCACAATTTTATTATATTGTGGAATGCAGTGACTAACTATGAATGAGACATGATATCAGGCTGTGCCATGTTGAGAGTGCACATCCTCAGCATGCACAAACCCATTCCTACCTTGTGCCATCCACCCACTGGCATTACCCATACCCATCATTATCATGCACATCTGATCTTGGTACTTGAGCCTCACCTTGGCAGCATCAAGATGTGATTGTGCATCCTCCAGAAGTTGCACTCAAAGCCCTTTGATAATCTTGTCTTTGTTGCACAATACATTGACAAGTTCTTGCTGCTTGTCCTGGAGCTGTGCCTGGAGAGAAGTGATCTCACTTTGAAAGATGGCATGCTCAGCTTGCACCTGTGGGTCAAATGCCAGTTGAACATTGCCAAGCAGTCCTGGATGGTTTTCCAATTGAGACTTGGGAAGGCCTTTCACAAGTTGTCATTGCTTGATGAGCACCTCACTTGTGGTGCTGGGCATGTTCATTCCATTGCTGGAGTATTGAGGTGTCAAAACAGCAGACTGCGCAGCCTGATGTCCTTCCTCATGGTCTGAAAGGGGCCACTCAATATTGCTGAGATCACTGGGGTCCAGTGGAGCAGTGTCATCTTGGAGATTACCCATTTTGACTTGGTTCTGGTTGGCTTGTTCTGCTGCCTTGGCACAATAGATAAGCTGGGGCATCTCACCATTGCCAGTTGGCTTGGGAATACATGCAAGCTGGTGAGAAGTGAGAATGTAGGCTGCACAGCCATAGTGGAACCATGCTAACCTCAAAGAATTTGCATTTGATGCTTTCCACAGTCCTGGTGACCAACCTCTGCTCACCCCAATAGGACTGCAAACCTGCAAGGATGCAATCCCAGTCATCTGACCTGATGGGAAGATGTTCCTCCACCAGGTCCAATGTTTTTGACAATTCACCCTCATTGTAGCCTTTCAAACCTGGGATGCAGCCTTGGCTCATGCATTTTGTTCTCATTGGTATGCTGTGCCTTCTGCTTCATGCCAATGGTGGATGGCATGGGTGCCAGACGTGCAGGCTGTGCAAGGGTATGCTGAGGTGTAGGGGAATCATTTGCATTCAGGTGGTGCACCCAGTTCAATGCATTGGGTAACACTGAGGGATATGACGTGGACAACACAAGGGTGCTCTGGGTGGTCCCTTCGGATTGTTGGGATGGTGGCTCAGTGTAGTTGGCAAGGTCAGGATAGGTGTCAGGGCACCAGCCCATTGCTTGGTCAAGAGACATGACTAAGCCTTTATGACATGGAAGTAGCTGGTATACCTTGGCATGTGCTGGAACCTGCTGGAAGGATTGGATGGTCAGGTGACCTGCTGTGCATGGCTGTGCATGACCTCATATGACCTCATCCTTGGTCATATGACCTGATCACCTGACTAGGCTGAGTAAGCAAGATGTTCTAGCAGGTTCCACCACAGAGGTATAAATATAAGGCCTACTCTGCCTGGGGACTGTCTCTTCAGACTTGGTCTCTTAGGATCATCCACAGGTACCTATACTGTAGATAGGTCTTAGTCATCAGGTCTACTCCACTTCCTTGTTGCCTGCTTAGACTCTTGGCACTCTTAGGTGAGCAGACTTAGTCAGCCTGTGTTGTCCTAACACCCCATCTGCAACTGTTTCCTCCTCTTCCC